AATAGCTCCAGAGAAATTAGAGGTGTGGCCAGACCACACCAAGCCAGCCATCTGATCACAGCCTAAGTGTATTCAGGTTTTGAATGGGGCATCCACAACACTGTAACCACTAACCTGGCCCTTTTAAGACTAAAACGGTTACAGTTATTATCTCCCACTGAAACCAATTAAAAATATTTAACTTTTGTTGTTAATTTCATTGTTATCTGTTTTTACCTGGCGAGCTGCCTTGAGCAGGTCTCTGAAGAGGAGGCATATCCCTTTTCTAAATGAATGGATGAATGGTCTGTGTTGACTCACTTATTGGGTCAGCGCTTAAGGTTGCCAGCTTCCAGGTGGTGGCTGGAGATCTCCTGCTATAACAACTGATTTCCAGGAGATATCAGTTCACCTGGAGAAAATGGCCACTTTGGAAGCTGGCGTCTATGGCATTATACCCCATTGAAGTCCCCCCCTCCCCAACCCCCCCTCCTCAGGGTCCACCCCCCAAATCTCCAGGTATTTCCCAACTCGGAGCTGGCAATTCTATCAGAGCTGGTGATGATGACTACCTAGGAAAGTTGTGGTTGTGGCTGATAACTCAATGAACATGTCAGCTCATTAAAAAAAGATAAATTTCACATAAAAATGATTAGGAATGCAAATAAAAATAAAATGGCTAATATCTCGATGTTTTTATGTATCCTGGGGTGTGGCTGCATTTAGAATACTGTGTATAGTCTTCTCTTGTCACCTCACCTCAAAAATGATATTGTATAGCTGGAAACAGGGCTAAAAGAGGCATTTCAAAGCTTTTTAGTTTAATTTAGCACGTTTGCTACAGTGGTGAGATTCTAGATATTTCTAAAATGACGAATGGTGTGGAGCAGTGTTCCCTCTAAGCTGAATTAGTGTGAGCTAGCTCACAGTTCTTTAGCCTCCGGCTCACACATTTTTGGCTTAGCTCAGGAAGGATGGCTCCACAGCAAACTGATGTATACAGCAGCCAAATCACTCACTCACAGCTTTAATGCCAGTAGCTCACAAAGTAGAATTTTTGCTCACAAGACTCCACAGCTTAGAGGAAGCATTGGTGTGGAGAATTTGGAAGAGAGTTTTTCCTCCCAGGGGTGGACTGGGAGGTCCCTGTCCTCCCCTGCCACACCCCTCAGATGGCAGAAGAACAATTAATCGGGGTTGGTCAGCCAGACAGTAAAACAAGCTGAGCCGGGGTGGGGGCACTCAGGAGAGGCAGCCCCCCAAGCCATTAGCTCACCGGGATATTTTCTTACGACCATAATGGCCACTCTTCCTGTTTTTCCCTCATTCTCTCATCACAGTAGAATTAGGAGGTTTGTGACAGACAGTTCAAATTGACTGACTATAAATTCAGGAGAACACCCAAAGAAAATGCATCCTTCGATGAACTTCCAGGCAATATGAAAATGTAAGCAAACTGTAGCAGTCATTTTATTTATTTAAAATATTTATTAGATGGCTTTCTGCCTTATAGGAACTCAAGGTGGCCTACAATGTAAATAATAATAAATACATAAAAACGACTAGCTAAAATCAATAATTTAAAACTGTTGGTAGGCTGAAGAACCAATCAAATACCATCTTGAGGAAAAAAAAACCCCTGTTTTCAGCTGCCTCCTAAATATCAAGAGTGAGGTGGTCAGGCATAATTATTTTTACAGACTATGTTAATGATAAGGATGTTTTAGAGGTCATTAATTCAATAACACTGTCTAACCATCTCATCCTTTGCTGTCCCCTTCTACTTTTACCTTCAATATTTCCCAGCATCAGAGTCTTCTCCAGTGAGTGCTCCCTTCTCACTTGGTGGCCAAAGTATTTGAGCTTCAGCTTCAGTATCTGGCCTTCCAGGGAATGGTCAGGGTTGATTTCTTTTAGGATTGACTGATCTCCTTGCAGTCCAAGGGAGTCTCAAGAGTCTTCTCCAGCACCATAATTTGAAAGCATCTACTCTTCAGCACTCGGCCTTCCTTATGGTCCAACTCTAGCAGCCATATATTACTACTGGGAATACCATTGCTTTGACCATACGGACTTTTGTTGGCAGGGTGATGTCTCTACTTTTTACTATGTTGTCTAGGTTTGCCATCGCATTCCTCCCAAGGAGCAGGCATCTTTTAATTTCATGGCTACAGTCACCATCTGCAGTGATCTTGGATCCCAGGAACGTGAAGTCTGCCACTGCTTCCATGACTTCCCCTTCTATTTGCCAAGGAGTGATGGGGCTGGATGCCATGATCTTAGTTTTTTTTTTAAATGTTGATTTTCAAGCCAACTTTTGCTCTCTTCTCTTTGATCCTCAGCAAGAGGCTCTTTAGGTCCTCTTCACTTCCTGCAATTAGAGTGGTATCGTCTGCATATCTGAGGTTGTTGACGTTTTTCCTGGCAATCTTAATTCCAGTTTGTGATTCATCCAGGCCAGCATTTCACATGATGTACTCTGCATATGAATTAAGTGAGCAGGGTGACAATATACATCCCTGCCGTACTCCTTTTCTTTTCTTTTTTTCCAATTTTTATTTATTTATCGTTTATATCGCATGTATCCACATGCCGTACTCCTTTTCTGAAGCTAAACCAATCAGTTGTTCCATATCCTAACTGTCGCTTCTTGACCCTTATACAGGTTTCTCAGGAGACATGTGAGGTGGTCTGGTACTCCCATCTCTTTAAGGACTTGCCACAGTTTGTTGTGATCCACACAATCAACGGCTTTAACGTAGTCTGTGTCACATCATTCCAAATTAAGATGTGTATCATAACTCTCCTTCTTACAGTGAAATTTGAACTTCTGTTGTAAATACAGACTATTTACCCAGTTCATTCACAGGCCGTTTAATTTTTTTTTAATTCCTATTTTTACATCTCCCCCAGAGAACTATCATTCTCACTTCATGTATTTACACGAACACTTTTTATGTTTCCCTGAGTGTGCCTATCATGTAGTATACACTTGATCTTAAATGGTTTTAAAATCAGATTTAGTTAAAAGCCTGCAAAAAGCTGCAACTGGCATGCATTTTTCTTGGTACTGGCTGTAAATAAACTTAATCTTAAATTGATAAGTTCCTCTTCGGCATTTTTACCACTTTGCTTCTTCTGATCTATAATTTTAAAAAGAGCTACTGTTAGTGGGCTCAGCGCAAGAACCCTGGGCTGAAAAATGCTATGCAAGGCAAATGCAAAGCAAAGTGACGTAGATATATGTAGATATTCAGTCTTTATTAAAACGGTCCTTGACCAGCACAGAATAAAACAGGTTCATCTGCTCCAAATTTAAAAGATTATTAATAAACATAATATGTGAAACATAATAATATTTTTTTAAAAAATTAAAACTACAATTTTAATTTTTCTTAAACATTCTTTATTTGCTGAATTCTCTAAGCAGCCACAAGAGACCTTCCACAAAGTGATATGCCAATTCCATGCACATTAAGGCCTGCAGGCTCCGTCAGAGCTTAAGGCTATTGATGACATTTCCCAGTTGCATTTCTTGAAAGCAGGTCTTTCTAACCTGATAACAAACCATCTCATGGAACTGGGCCATCCCCTATTGCAGAAAGATGGGGGTCACTAAGGCACACAGGATAGACTCCCATACAACCTGCATGGTGCCCCTGATGCTTTTAAAAATCTAGACGCCGCAAAAGGCACCTGCATAGGGAGTAAGACTGGCAGTGCAAACCTATCCAGAGATGCTCCTCTCTAAACGCATTGAGTGAGCTCAGACAGGAGTCATGCTGCCCTTGCTGGCTTTGTGAAAAGGGTCTAGATCAGATGGGGAGAAAACATCTCGCTTCCCCTTCTCTTCCCTTAACCCACAATAGCTGTTCCAAGATTTTTGCAACGAATTTAGAGTCCAGTGGCACCTTTAAGACCAACAAAGGTTTAGTCAAGGTATGAGCTTTCCTGTGCACGCACACTTTATCAAATACCTTAGAATGGCAGGCAATTAACATGCAACATGATGACGATCAAGATATGCAAAGTGACACTAAATAGCAAGTTAAGGTTATAGGGTCAACAGTTGTAGACAATGTTCCCTCTAAGGTGTGGAGTCCTGTGAGCAAAAATTCTACTTGGTGAGCTCCTGGCATTAAAGTTATGAGTGAGCAATTTGGCTCCTGCATAAGTTAGTTTGTTCTGGAGCCATCCCTTCCTGAGCTAGGACAAAAATGTGTGCGCTGGAGGCTAAAAAACTGTGAGCTAGCTCACACTAACTCAGCTTGGAGGGAACACTGGTTGTAGAGCAATAAATATCAGGTAAAGGTAAAGGTTCCCTTGCTCGAAAGCCAGTCGAATCCGACTCTAGGGTTGCGGTGCTCATCTCCTTTTCCAAGCCGAAGAGCCAGCGCTGTCCGAAGACGTTTCCGTGGTCATGTGGCCGGCATGACAAAACACCAAGGCGCACGGAACGCTGTTACCTTCCCACCGAAGTGGTTCCTATTTATCTACTTGCAATTTCTTGCTTTCGAACTGCTAGGTTGGCAGGAGCTGGAACTAGAGACGGGAGCTCACTCCGTCATGCGGCAACTCAGGTCTCGAACTGCTGAACTACCGACCTTCTACAGCCTGCAGTTCAGCGTCTTAATCACTTGAGCCACCACAACAGCTCCTAAAATAAATTTCAGACTAGCAGATAAATGTCTAAATGGAATCTTCATTCTCTCCTGCCAGGCATGGAGGGCACTGAACCCTACACCCGCCTCCAAAAAATGCAGATTTTTTGCCTCCTCTTCGCCATCCATTGACTCCACCAGCCTCCTCTTCGGTCTGCTGTTCCTAGATCCCTGTTCTCTTCAGTGATGCTTTAGGGAAGCCGCCCCTCCCCTCCTCCCCCCGTTTCCTTCCAGGCTGCGTTAGGCGAACAGAGAGCGCTGCAACAAGGCATCGCCGCCGCTCCGTTCCCACCCTCCTCCTTTCCCCCCCTTGCTTCCCTCCATCTCCATCTCTGTCGCCGTCCCTCCTTTTGGACTTGGCTTTATTTGGCGCTTCCGGAGACTGCCGGGGTGCTGCTGCTTCTCCGGCCTCCCCCGGCTTGGCTTTTGTGAGTGACACCCGCTCGCACGGAGGAGGAGGAGGAGGAGGAGGAGGAGGGAAGGGGGGGAGCGGCTCCGGATTTTCGCGTGCGGCGAGCAGGAGGAAGCGAGCGCGCCCCGGGCGCATCCGAAGCAGGTAATTCAAGAGCGGGCGGGCGGCGGCCAGGGAGGGGCAGGGAACGGGGGAAGCCAAGCGGCACCTCGGTGCGGTGCAGCCCTGCAGGGTGGGGTGCAGGGCGAGGCGAGGGGGACCGTGCAAGAGGTGCGGGCTGGGCGTGAGAGAGAGGCGGCGGCGGCGGCTGCAAACGGTGCACAGAGGCCTGGCCTGCGGGCGGCAGGAGAGGAGGAGGAGGCCAACCGCGGCACCGGTGGGGGGGCTGCAAGAGAGAGCTTTGGGGCGGCTGCGGGGCTCTTTGGCGTCGTCTGCGTGGCGAGGAAGGCTTATCTAGGTCACCCTCCCTCCGCCGCCCATGTGGAGCAGACCAGTGGCTTGCTGCTGCTCCTGCTGGAGCAATGGCCAGATGGCCCTTCCTTGTTCTGCGCCCTCCCAGCTCTGCCGAATCAAGTGTCCCCTGGATTCCTGGCTCAGTCTGGAGCATCCCTGATTCTGGGAATATTGACCCGACAGAGTCCTCCCTGAGAGAAGGGCACAAACCTCCCCCCGCCCCCGGTGTGGGTGTGTGGAGGGTTACCTGAGGCTGCAAGCGGTGGGAAGCCTTCCCTATTTAGTAAAGTAATCTGGGTGTCAATCTTCCCACCCACTCTCCCTAGGGCGATGGGGATGGCTTGCCCGCAGCAGCAGAGAAAGGGGGGGGGGGGAAAGCCCCTTTCTGTTATAACTAGGACCAATGTTCCCTCTAAGCTGTGGAGTCTTGTGAGCAAAAATTCTACTTTGTGAGCTACTGGCGTTAAAGTTGTGAGCGAGCGATTTGGCTGCTACATAAATTAGTTTGCTCTGGAGTCATTCTTCCTGGGCTAAGACAAAAATGTGTGGGCCGGAGGCTAAAAAATTGTGAGCTAGCCCACACTAACTCAGCTTAGAGGGAACACTGACTAGGACCGCTGTTAGAGTTTGTGTGTGGGTGTTCACTCAAGAAGACCCGGCAGTGTGTGGGACTGCAACCCCACAGCATCAGTGCAAGACTTGACGTCTGACGTTTTCTCTTCAGCCTGTCTCCAAGGCAGCCAACCGGTTTATTTGATTTTTTTCTTTTTTTTTTGCCAAGTGATGCTGCTATTTCTTGAACAGGGGGTGCCTTGGTTTGTCTCGTTTTACGGAGGAGTAACATGGTTTTCAGTGTGCTGTCAATCATCACTTAATGGACAGATCATTAAAAAGGTGTGAGATCCAGAGCCACTCATGACTAGAAACCTTGCGGCTGAATTCTCTGTCGCTTGGCTTATACTCACAGAGCTTAAGTATTGTACAGTTTAGTATTGCATTTTGAGGAGGTACCTGTGCTGTATGATTTCAGAGGAGTGTCTGAAATGACTCCTGTCTGCTCCCTTCGATAGTGCAACTGCAGGAAGTTTTAAATTGCATTTTCTGAACTGTGGATTTTATTTGCAGGAATAGGAGATCGAGTAGGGTTTATTGGAAAATTCGGACTCTGTTTTAAGGAAAGAATTTGTGAAATTACTTCCATAGGTTATTGGAAAAAAAACCCTTTACTAGAGAAATACAGTTGTTTGACACTATAAATAGTTTCACACTGCTGTTTAAAATGCTGTGAGATGAAACAGAAGTAATTCTGGTCCACTGGATGCTTTGAATCATTGCTCTATGATTTTTATTTATTTACTCTATTTATACCCACTTTTCTCCCCGATGGGAACTTGAAGTTGCTTACAACATTCTCTCTTTCTTGATTTTATTCTCACAACAACCCTGTGAGGTAGGTTAGACTGAGAGTATGTGACTAGTCCAAGGTCACCCGGCAAGGTTCCATGGTAGAGTGAGGATTATAACCTGGGTCTCCCAAATCTTAGTGCGATGCCCTAACCCAGGGGTGACTTAAATTGCTCAATTTAAGAGCCACATAGAATAAACGTCAGATGTTTGAGAGCCCCATAAGGCATAAATAAATATTACATGTTTTTATTTTAAAATATGCAAATTTGCTTCTTATTAACATTATAAATGAGACTGCCAAAAATAAAATGGGTAAAAGCAGATATTGATAATGATATCTATCTGTTCAATTATATTTATTTGTTTGCTAATGATATTTAGGAGCTGCGGTGGCTAAAGTGGTTAAGATGCTGAACTGCAGGCTGTGGAAGGTCGGTAGTTCAGCAGTTCGAGACCCGGGTGCCGCATGACGGAGTGAGCTCCCGTCTCTAGTTCCAGCTCCTGCCAACCTAGCAGTTCGAAAGCAAGAAATTGCAAGTAGATAAATAGGTACCACTTGGGTGGGAAGGTAACAGCGTTCCGTGCGCCTTGGTGTTTAGTCATGCCGGCCACATGACCACGGAAACGTCTTCGGACATTGCTGGCTCTTCGGCTTTGAAACGGAGATGAGCACCGCAACCCTAGAGTCGGATTTGACTGGCTTTCGAGCAAGGGAACCTTTACCTTTAATGATATTTATCTGTCTAAGAGAGAGAGAGAAAAAGAGAGAGGTGGAAAGAAAGAATAAAAGAGGTGGAAAGAAAGAGTGAAGGGAGGGAGAGGGAATAAAGGAAGAGAGGGAGAGAGAAAAAGTATGCCTCCCCTTCGTTTCCCCAGCTTCCCTACCGGGAGCCGCACAATATGTGTGAAAAAGCCGCATGTGGCTCCGGAGCAGCAGTTTGGCCACGCCTGCCCTAACCACTACACCATGCTGGCTTTCATGAAATGATCAACTGACTGAGACTGTAGCCAACTTTTCTTCTCTCTATGGGAAGCTTAAAACCAGTCATCCATATTTTGGAGAACAGCAGACTGACATCCTTATATAACCAGAGAATATTAAATATGAAACACTGAATATGCTTGTCGAGTATGCTTTTGCTGAGTATGCTTTTGTTTTGCTGCTTGGTTTTGAAGCAAAATTAATACTTTTTATTGTACAGTTTAAAGGGGAAAAAGTTAAGATTTACTTAAGTAACAGTGCGGTCCTTAGACTAGAATAACTGTATAGGATTGTGCAGTAAAATAAAGACCGGGAGACATTTTAAAAACAGCTTCATAAACTGTGCAGGAGTTTTTGTATCTCGAGAAATAAAGAATAATATGAACAAGAGCTCTGTAATCTATAATCAAATGCAACATGGTCACCATGGTCCTTTTGAGGGTCATTGCTGCCCTTCTTCTGAATGCTGCTCAGACTTCAGAGATGTATCATCAGCACAAGTGAATGAATAAAAGATGTTCTCTTAATTAAATAAAAATGAAAAGGGCCTGTGCATTATTCACTACTGCACTAATGCTTGACGAAGCTTGGACATCCAGTGGGACTCTCACTTAACTGAAAAATTATCCTTAAGGGAGCAAACCCTATTTCATATTCCCGGGATGCCAAAGAGATGATGTCAGTAGTTCACTGGTTCAAATCAAGTATTTATAACATATAAAAACTACAAGACTCATGGCTGAATTTATTAGGGATTGTATCCAATGTTCCCTCTAAGCTGTGGAGTCTTGTGAGCAAAAATCCTACTTTGTGAGCTCCTGGCATTAAAGTTGTGAGCGAGCGATTTCTCTACTGCATAAGTTAGTTTGCTCTGGAGCCATCCTTCCTGAGCTAAGACAAAAATGCGTGAGCTGGAGGCTAAAGAACTCTGAGCTAACTCACACTAAACTCAGCTTAGAGGAACACTGGTTGTACCTATTTTACCATAATTCAGTCAAAAACCATTAATGGATTTTGGGGGTGAACTAGTTCCAAATGAGTGATGGAGTGCCTTAATGACAGGTGAGGCTTGACAAACGGAATGGCTTCTATTAATTCTCATTAGAATAATTTTTCTCATCAGGCTCCTGGAATTGACTGTACACTCCACTATTGGCAGACACACTTTTATGATAGAACAATGCTTGAGTTTAGTGAAACCTTGAAGACCAACAAAGTTTCATTCAAGGTGTGAACTTTCATGTGCAGGCACCTTGAATAAAACTTAGTTGGTCTTAAAGTGCCACTGAACTCAAACTTCATTTCACTGCTTCAGAACCAACACGGCTACCCACCTGAATCACACTTTAAGGATAAATGGGGGGCAAACTATAGGACTATGATGGGGGGCGAGATTTGTCCTATAGTTTGCCTCAGTAGTTCTCTTGTGTTGAAGAAACTGCATAATATGTGCATTTAGAACATGAGAGAACCCCGAAAGATAGGAGGGGACTCTGTTTATCTTCCTTGTTTTATACCAACTCACAGTTCATGACCGTAGGCATGTCATGGCCTATTTACACAGTTATCCTGAGGTAATTATTTTGTGTGTCACTTCTTTACCCACACAGCATCACTGAGATCGAACCACCCCGCCCTATCTAATTTGTTGCTGTTTATTTCATGCTGACAAATATGTATGGTTGTCCCACTGCAGAATCTGCAGGAATAGGGTCAAACAGTTCTGGAAGTGAAGTACAGCTGTGGAGGAAGCCATTGTAAGATATAAATATCAGTACTTGCCAGCACACTGGTTCTACATGGGAAATGTCTCAGTACTTACAGGGTGCAGTCAGATGGTGTGCTGGGAGCGGTTTAAATTGCTCCGGCCCTGATGCGGTCTATTTTAACCTGGAGAATCGCGATTACACTCACCTCCTTGCTCCGGATTGCGCAGCTGTTATTTTTTTCGTTCTCTCAGTTTGGGCAGGCGCACAGGCAGCCATCTGTAGAACTAACATTTTCGCACGTGCGCGGAACAGCGATTTCCACTTCAACCCGACTGCTATAACACTTCCCTTTAAACTTTAAAGGAACACTTCCCTTTAAATGTTTACTGGCGAAAATGGCCTCCGTGAGATCCCGAACTTGTCTAAAGGCTAAGACTAGGCACCGTTTAAACATTGTTTTTAATAACGTGGTGGCAGACCTCGACCTATACGCAATCTGGTCACTAAACTTCGCCAGTTATTTTTTAAGGTATGCTTGTATACTCTTTGTTCTCTGAGTTTAGTAGGACAATTTGCTTGTACCAGTAATTGGA